AAATATTCTATGTGCACTTGAAAAGTGTATATTCTGCTGAAGTTGGGGTTGAGTGTTCTATTAATATTAGGTCAAGTTAACTGAGTAATTCAAGTCTTCTATGCCCTTATTTATTTTTTTGTCTACCTGTTTTATTGATGATCAAGAGCACTATTGAAATCTCTGAATATAATTGTGGATTTGTCTGTTTCTCCTTGCAATTCTGTCAGTTTTTACTTCACATATTTTGAAGCTCTGTTATCCGGGGCATTTATGTTTAGGATTATTATGCAGTGTTGCTGCTCTTAAGAGGTTAAACTATTTCTTCTACTGCATACACCATTTCCTGCTAATGTAATTATAATCAGTACTTCATATTTCCAACTGCTTTATGGATATATTGAGTGGGATATTGTATGGGTATCTCAAATACAAAATAATACAAACAATACAATATCCCACTCAATTTACCTACACCTAAATTTTTCCTGCTCCCTGTGTTCTTCACATTAGTTAATGATGACTAAATTAGCACTTAACAGAACCCAAATATAGTTGGTTCAATCAGACAGAGATTTATTTTTAATATGAAAGACATTTGGACAAAGGAAATTCAGGGCTAGTACAAAGGCTTAGTGGTCTTTGGGAACCCAGGATACTTCCATTTTTTCTGTTTCATCACCCCTAAAATGTGGATTCCATCCACAATATTATCTCTTGATTAAAGATGGTTTTTGGAGCCCTGGCCATTGCATCTGGTTTCCAGTTAGAATGTGGAAGAAAGGAGTAGGAGGGCAGCAAATATGCACACCACTTTCTTTCTTTCTTTCTTTCTTTTTTTTTTTTTTGAGACGGAGCTTCGCTCTTGTTACCCAGGCTAGAGTGCAATGGCGCGATCTCGGCTCACCGCAACCTCCACCTCCTGGGTTCAGGCAATTCTCTGCCTCAGCCTCCTGAGTAGCTGGGATTACAGGCACGCACCACCATGCCCATGTATTTTTAGTAGAGATGGGGTTTCACCATGTCGACCAGGATGGTCTCGATCTCTTGACCCGGGGCGCGGTGGCTCATGCCTGTAATCCCAGCACTTTGGGAGGCCGAGGTGAGTGGAACACCACTTTCTTTTAAGGAACTCTCCTCTGGAAGTCCCATCTAGCAACCTCTATGTGTATCTGATTGACACCCCTGAGTTGCAGGAGAGGCTGGGAAATCTGTGCTGCTCTGAAAGAAACTGGGGTCCTGTAACTAAAAAAAATATAGGTAAACATGGTGAGTATAACCAATTGGCAATACCATTGTTACTAACAGTGTGTTGTATTCTTAAAAACTGCTGAGTCAATTTTAAGTGTTCTCACCACAAAAATAAGTATGTGAGATAATGTATGTATTAATTAGTTTGATTTAGTCATTTCACAATATATACATATATCAAAACATAATCTTCTACATGATATGCAAAATTTTTGTCAATTAAAAATAAATGGAATAAATCAGTAAATTAAAAAGCAAAGAAGATAGGTGAGTGGATAGTGGGTTGACAGTGATTGAACCCCAGTAATTCCCTCAGCAAAAAATCTAAGACTGGTCACCAGCTCCTCTCTCTCTCCTTTCACATTTGAGGACATACCCATGCTCGTGGCGTGAATCCAACATCTTCATTTCAGTCATGGCATCTTGGATCCATTCCTCATCCTCTTGGTTGGACTGTTCAGCAGTTTCCAGAGTCCTCCTCCTATTTCTGCCTTTCTTCAAGACTGCTTCTAGAGATACTTCACTAAGCTACACTTTGCTAAGGTCTTATTGCTCTTCTGATTTAAAAGCTTCCTTTAGGTCCACTAATGAAAGAAGAAAATCCAAATACCCTAGATTGTCCACATCACAGCCCTTTTCTTGCATGTAAACTCTCAAAGTTCTTTTCAAGCCCATGCTCCATTTACAACACTGAGCCCAAGGTTAAGGAAGGCACAGAGTTGGGGTTCTAGCTTAGGATTGTGAGCCTCCAAATCCCAAACTCTATGCATAGGCATCTACTTCCTGGAAAGGAGGGGAAGGAGAAAAAACTGGAGGAGGTAGTCAGCATGATCGTGCGGGTTAAACAACAGCTTACACCAGAGAGAGAGAGAGAGAGGCTCTCTGGAGATGCACTTGTGCCTTAGGTCAGGTGCACATTAGATCCTCAACTTGGTGATTTACTGGCTTTCTTGATTTCCAACTTGAGAAAAAAGTAATATCTTGGAAAGAAATATGAGATAAGAAGGAAAGTGACATCAAGCACTATTAAAATAGTATTTGTTGCATTTTTCCCTAATTAAAAGTAATACACATAAATAGTGAGAATTTGAGAAAATTCTTACTATTTTTTTCTAATTAAAAGTGATACACATAAATAGTAAGAATTTCAGAAAATTCTGCAGCACAAATAAAATATAAAATCACTAGCATTTCTACCACCTAGATATAAAGTGTATTTATTTGTTTCATATACATACATGAGTACAAAATCAAACTTTTATTGTATGGGTAGCAATCATTATTTATATAAACAAATCTATATTTATTTATATAGATCCTTTTATGTGTTATAAAATTCATTTTTAAAATAAAACTGAGATAAAATATAGAACAGATATTTAGCTTACTTTTTTTCATTGAACAAATATGGTAAACATGTTCCCATGCTTCTAAATATTTTTCTGCAACTTGATTTTCAGAGGCTAGATAAAATTTCATTGCATGGATGGAATAAACATTCCTTTGTTGAGCTTTGCTTTTGGTATTTGCTATTATGAATAATCTTGATATGCCTTTTTATTTGGTGTATATCTGATTATTTCCTTAGATAAAGAAGTATGATATAAATATTGTTTTATACAAACCACCCTCCAGGAATATTATGCTAAAGTTTACTTTCACCAGTAAGGTATGAGAACGTTCCCTATACTCTGTATGTTATCATTTAAAAATATTGTTTTAAAAATATACCTGTTTTGATAGCTGATGGGCAGATCCCATTTCATTTGTTTGCTGTTTGTATTCTTCTGGTTTGAATTGCCTCTCCAAGTTTTTGTTCCTAATTCCCTTGTGGTATTTAGTGCTAATAATTTATTTATTATCTATAAATATAAATAGCATTATGTATTCTTTTATTATACTAATGAGTGATATAATAATACTTGTGATAATAATGACAGCCAACATTTAGTAAGCCTTTACTGTGCTAGTTTTCATGTATTTTCTTTTTTAATCCTTGCAGTCCTCTGAAATATATTTGATTATTATTCCCATTAAAATGACAGAAGTTTGTGAAATTAAATGGCCCATCCAAAGTCACATAGCTAGTAATAGGCAGACCGACTTGTTAAAAGCCCCTTATGTAGTATTTTAACCACTTGCCTGTAAAATTGTTTTAACTTCTCTCCTCCTGTTTTATTGTTCATCTTTTAATTTAGTTAATCCTCCTTTTTATAGGAAGAATTTCTAATTTTCTTATAGTTCTATGTAGCAGCCTTTCCTTTATTATATCTTCTTTTGTGCATATGCTTAGAAACACTGTCCCTTGACAGCGATTGGCTAAGTATTTAGTTATATTGCTTTCAAATTATTTTATTGGTGATTTGCAGTGTGCCACTCTGCAATCTATTGAAACTTATTTTGGTATATGGTGTGAGTTAGAAATAGAGCCCTATACTAAAGAATCTATTCTCCCTTCTTATTTTAAGATCAAACTTTTACTGTATGTGTAGCAATCATTTGTATTTATATTTCTATGTATTTGGGTCTGATCTACTTTATTCTGTTCAGTTGATTTATTATTGATTCTCACTCCAGTATCATGCCATCCTGACCCCTGCACCTTTCTAATATGCATTGATGTCTGAGGGGCATGCCTTCTCCTCCTTCATTCATCAGAGTGCTCTTAGCTGCTCTTTCAGATGGTCTTTAATTCGGGCTCACTTTGGAGTGGATTTCTCCAAAGGCCCTGGTTCATCCACTTATACTTTCCTGACCCTTGGTTGGCCAACCAGAATCCTTCGAGGTGTCTTTGGGAGTTTTGTGACTTCCCATTCCCTGCAGATGCACCGTGCTGTGGAGGCTCCTCTCCAGCCCTCAACGGCATCCTGGCACCCAGGCCCTTTCTGGACACCGGCAGGCATGGTTGGGCTAAGCATCTTCAACAGTGTTGCAGACAGGTTGTGTCGTACTTTCTTGGCATCTGCCATCAGCACTCAGCCTCAGCTTCTTCGCCAGTTGTAGTTCTGGTTAATCCACCAGAGAGTCACCTCGGCCAGCATTTGGAAGAAGAGGTAGCGACCTCCATCCACACCAGCACAGATGATATTCAGGCTATTTCAGAAATCCTCAGAGATGCCTGGAGCAACATTAAATTAGAGCTGAAAGGACCTTGGAGATGATCAATTCCAACCTCATCATTTTCCAGATGAGGAAAATAAAACTTCCCTCAGATCCCCTGCTCGCCCCCTCCCCAAAGCTTTGATCCTCCTAATAGCCCCAGATATGTATTGCAGAAGCCAGCACTGGCACCCAGGTGTCCTGGTTTCTAGCCCACAGTTCTGTCCTCACACCTCGCTTCCATCCTGACCTAATGCTGTCACTGTCAATGGCAAGGACTATATGCATCCCATCTATACATGGAAGAGGTCACTCCTGCCTCTGAGGAAGTGATGTTTAATTTTCTAGTGATGTTAAGGCACCCAGCTTCAGTCTTATCCTGGTTAAATCTTGGCTAGGTTACTTCCAGCTAAGCCCCTGGTTCAGCCAGGCAGGAAACAACCTCATCAGGAGTGGACGAAAGGGAGCGTCACTGCCGAGCAGAGGAGTTGTTAAGTGGCTGATGAAGCAAGGAAGAGGCATCTTGACAGGACAAATTATTGGCTCTGGGGAATGATGCCAAATTCCCAATGACTCCAAGGGGGACAGGATGTCTACATATCCATCCACAAACACTGAAAACCTTGCTTACTTTCTTCCTTCAACTAGTTACTCACACTCCCCATTCCGCATTTTTTTTTGTGTGTGCAAGATTTAATAAAAAACAAAAATAGGAATCGTTGCTTTCAACATTTTCCAGGTTGTGAAAGGTTTGCCATGATTATCAGGGGTGTGGTTCTAATCTGCATCAGTGGAACAAATACAAAATACTGTTCTCCTGCCAGGCCGGAAGGCAACGCACCTCCTCCTCTAACAGCCAGACTAGCGGTGAGGAGTCAGTGCTGTGACCCAGGCCAAGCTGGAGTGTCCGCATGGCTTTTTCTCTGACCATTCCATCTACCTTGAGGCATGCTGGCTGGGCCCTGTTTCCACACCAGCACGTGGTGAGACAGGGTAGCTTATCAACAGGCTGCTGGGCCTTAATACTGACAGTGAGTGCAGCGGGTCACAGCCAGGAAGGGACTAACACAGATGCCCTCCCAGCCCCCAATGCTGGCCTAATTTTACAATACCATGGAGAAAAGCTTTGATGAAAACAACAGGAAGTCAACACAGCAGAGTGGTGTGGACAACCCAGAAGCCAGCCTCACGCATTCCATGCCCACAGTTAACGATGACAACAGCAATAATAATAATAAAACAAAGGTACAGGTGAAAAGCAGCGCTCAGGGTGTCCTGCTGCAAGCTGGGGAAGGCGCATGCTCAACTTGGACAGGACACAGCTAGCCTCTCTTCAGGTCCCTGGATTCAAAGAGCTTCAACCGTTCTTGCACCGTCAGGCCTTCCTTCAGACTCTCCTGCATGGGCCGGGAAACGGGTGCATTTCACGTATCCCACAAGACCTGCTCAATTACGGACTTGGACCTGATGTTTCTGAGTTGCCGGGCGACACAGGATCTATCTTTCTTCAAGAAGTCAGGGTTGCTTTTAGATTTCATTATATCGTATCCCAACACCGTGGCACTGTCAGGGGACTTTTCCCCCAGTGCTTCTGTTGCAGCCTTGAGCTGCTCCTTCAACCTGCTGATGTCACAGTCAGCCTTAGCCTTCGCAATGCTGAGCTCTGTGTAGATGTCTTTGTACTTGTCGCTAGCGTACTTCTTGTCCCGAAGTGCCGTCTGCAGCTCGTCCTTGAGGGAGCTAATCTCGTTTCAAGTATGGTATTTCTGATTCCTTGACCCGCAATAAGACTTCCAGCTCGTAGGCATCCTTGCCCAGTGGCCTCCCCACCACCGTCCCCAGTCAGTAGCGTCTGTCCCCAGTTCAATTCTAAGTCTTCCTTCTTGAGGTCATGGCACACTGAGGAGCATACACTATCTCTTGGCAAACAGGTTGCTAGCTTTTTCCTTTTTCTTCCTTCTTTGTCATAAGTTAAATCCAACTAACTCATTCCCTTCAGCAGAGAGAGAAACCAAGGCAGTCTTAATGAAGATCACAGGAGTTGCCCAAAGTCACATAGAAAGCAGAAAAGCCAGATTATAACTTGAGTTTCCAAAATTTTAGACCAGTGAGCTGTGATTCTGGGGGTAAAATGAATGGGTTAAAAGGAGAGGGAAGCCTGGAAGCAGTCTATGTAGCTGCTTCAATTTTGGTAGCCAAAATAGAGCTGATGTGCCGGGTAGCCCCATCCCTTGCCCTGCCTTTAGATCCTTTGTATGGGGTGTCACTTATTGAAAAAAAAAGGGGGCATTGAAAGTACTCCCATCAGAGAGGTGTTGTGAGGATGTGCAGCAGATATTAAGAAGTTAATAATTGTGAGGCTCCATTGGCCAGCTTGGGCCATACTGGCTCTGGCTTCACCTCACTCCTGATGGAGCGGCTCTCTGTTGACTATGGCAAGAAATCCAAGCTTGAATTCTCCATCTACCCAGCACCCCAGGTGTCTACAGCCGTGGTCGAGCCCTATAACTCTATCCTGACCACCCACACCACCCTGGAACACTCAGACTGTGCCTTCATGGTGGACAACGAAGCTATCTATGACATCTGCCGCCGCAACCTAGATATCGAGCGCCCAACCTACACCAACCTCAATCACCTCATCAGCCAAATCGTCTGCTCCATCACAGCTTCCCTGCGCTTTGACGGGGCCCTCAATGTGGACCTGACAGAGTTCCAGACCAACCTGGTACCCCACCCTTGCATCCACTTTCCCCTGGCCACCTATGCACCAGTCATCTCTGCAGAAAAGGCGTACCATGAGCAGCTGTTGGTGGCCGAGATCACCAATGCCTGCTTTGAGCCTGTCAACCAGATGGTCAAGTGTGATCCCCAGCATGGCAAGTACATGGCCTGCTGCCTGCTGTACCGTGGAGATGTGGTGCCCAAGGATGTCAACGCTGCCATTGCCACCATCAAGACCAAGCACAGCATTCAGTTTGTGGACTGGTGCCCCACAGGCTTCAAGGTTGGTATCAACTACCAGCCTCCCACTGTGGTGCCTGGGGGTGACCTGGCCAAGGTGCAGCATGCTGTGTGCATGCTGAGCAACACGACCGCGATCGCCGAGGCCTGGGCCCACTTGGATCACAAGTTCGACCTAATGTATGCCAGGAGGGCGTTTGTGCACTGGTATGTGGATGAGGGCATGGAGGAGGGTGAGTTCTCTGAGGCCCATGAGGATATGGCTGCCCTGGAGAAGGATTATGAGGAGGTGGGCATCAACTCCTATGAGGACGAGGATGAGGGAGAAGAATAAAGCAGCTGCCGGAGCCTATTCACTATGTTTATTGCAAAATCCTTTCGAAATAAACAGTTTCCTTGCACGGAAAAAAAAATGTAGAATGGTACAAGAGACAGCTGATTTTCATCTGACTACCTATTTGGGAAGATAATTAGAAAATAATGTTTGGGGAAGTAGCGTGTACAATTAATTTTCAACATATGTTTACAGAGCAGGTATTATAAGCTAGACTATTCTACGTGCTTGGTGGATAAGTTCACGAACAAAATAAAGATCTCTACCCTCATATATGTGTGTGTGTGTGTGTGTGTGTGTATATGTGTGTGTATATATATATATATACACACATATATACATACACACACACATATATACATATATACACACACATATATATATATATACACACACACACATATATATATGTGTATATATATATATAATATACACATATATATATATTTAAGAGATGGGGGTCTCCCTCTATCACTCAGGTTGGAGGGCACTAGTATAATCATAGCTCACTGTAGCCTTGAATCCCTGGGCTCAAGTGATCCTCCTGCTCAGCCTCCTGAGTAGCTGGGATTACAGGTGGGAGTCACTGTGCCTGGCTCCTCATGGAGTCATGATTTTCTGATTTGATCTTGAGACATCTCCATACTATTTCTCTGAGACCTGGTGTTATGAAATTGATAAGATTGTGCAGCTGGGCGCTTCTCGTCCATAACTGGTCACTGTATTCGTATGTTCTCATGCTGCTATGAAGAAATACTCAAGTCTGGGTAATTTATAAAGAAAAGAGGTTAATTGACTCACAGTTCTGCATGGCTGGGGAAACTTACAATCATGGCAGAAGGCACCTCTTCACAGGGTGGCAGGAGAGAGAATGAATGCAAGCAGGGAAATGCCCAATGCTTATAAAGCCATCAGATCTCGTGAGAACTCTCATTATCACAAGAACAGCATGGGGGAAACTGCCCCAGTGATTCAATTACCTCCCACCAGGTCCTTTCCATGACTTGTGGGGATTATGGGGATTACAGTTCAAGATGAGATTTGGGTGGGGACACAGCCAAACCATATCAGTCACTGTTGGTGATGCTTGGTTCTTTCGGGTGTCTCTGAGATTTACGATGAACAAGACAATGAACCAGGAGCAAGTGTAAGGCGCATGTTCTTCAGTGCTTCACCGTCTACCTAGGGCAGTGTGGACCAGACTTCTAGACTGAAACGGAAAGGCTGTGTTGATATTGCAGAAAGATTACAGATGAGGACCCTAAAAGCCCATCATAAAGTAAAATACCAAGAAGTCTTATGTTTTATATTCAAATTTCTTGCAAATTAGGCATAGTCCTATAAGTCATTCATACTTTAATATTAAAAGCATTGGACTTGCTCTTAAAGTAAAAGAACATTTCTTAACACCCCTTCCCCTAAATCTTCAAGTGAAACTTGCTGAAAAAAGATGCTCTAGGTATATTGTACAGATTCGAATCTCCTGGTTTACCTGTGCATAGCTATAGAAGTAAAGCCCATTCTAACTGGAGAAGCATGGATGTCTGAATGTTTCACAAAACCAAATTCTGGGCACCAAAGTGAAGGGAGGTTTGGATGAGAGTGATTATTCAACTTCGTCTGCTGGTTGGGTTACTCCTAGTTCTGCTTGGGTTAGCCTAAGTTCCCAGAATGTGTTCATCCTATAGGCCAAGATGGAAGTAGCAAAAATCTAGAGCATTGAAGATAAATGAAATCCAATCATTTGTCTTCTCAATATTCCAGTCTTCACTTAAAACCTTTAGCTGTTAATTGGACATTTTACAAAAGTCTGTTTATTTTAAGGCCCCAATGCTTGAAGGACTATAAGGTCACTGTCAGTATGTTTCTGGAGGAGGAATGTTTGTCTCCTGTCTTCAGGGTTGTTGTTTATTAGTTTTCCCATCCAAAGACTAGGTCTGATGCCAACAAATCGACAATCAAGCATTTGGACATTTCCCCACCCATGTAGAGGCGCCCTGGGTTAGAATAGTTTTTTGCTACGAGCCAAGGCTAAGTTCCATCTCTCATTTACCCACAAGGAGCAGAGGGATGCAAAGGATTGTCAGTGGCAGAGAATATGCCACTTTTTTGGCTGTTTTCCACAGCATTCAGATTCATATCTGAGCTCAACATGCTTTGTATGTTTTCTCCACATGCTGAGACAGGCTGTTTTCAAAGATAAGGTTGAGAAATGGTGAGAAGAGGCTTGCTTATGCTCATGGTCATCATTACAGTGCAATCTCTCTCCAAAATGGGAAAGGGCCCCTCATTGGAGATGAGCTTCAGCTTTGGTCCATCTCTGGAGTCACCTCTACCTGATTTTCCAATCTTATCCCCTAATCTTGAACCTGCCCTTTAACTGAAAGAAAGACACGCTTTTCCCCCCTTTTGATGTTTTATCTGAATCCTTGGCAAAAGTATAGCTTATAAGTTTTTAATTAAGATGCCTGTGTTTGAGAAGGTGGTGACAACTGAGCTCCAGGCTCATCTCGTTTATCACATGCTCCAGGACAGGTTTGGGTCTGGGTTTCAATCAGGTCATAACATGAAGTCAGGATCTGTGATCATTGCCTTATTCACAGGAGCAGAGGCTTGTGGAAATAAAGGGAGGCACTCCAGTCCCCAACATACCCAGGGGCTTTTCATTCTGTGTCATTGGACTGAAATTTCTCCCCACTGGATCGGGACTTGAAGATGCCACAAGACTTGTCACTTACCTTGCAAGCGATCATCTTTCTCTTTGGCACCCTGAATATTTTGACTTGCTTGGACAAATAATTTGGAGTATTTACAGATCCCACTTGATGGGTTGCTAATACTTAGGCAAATTTGGTTTGGTATAACTGGAGAGCTATTGTGTAAAGCCAGGAAGGTAGCGGTAGCTTTACTGTGAGTTCCTTACCAAGGAGGGATAACTCATTAACTCTTCCACAACTCTTTCATTTTAGCTACCGTTAAGCAGTAGCAGCATGGACCTGTGGGATCGAGACTAGGGTCAGCTAAGTTTGATTGGGTCAATGATTGTAAAGACTGAGCCTGAGACTCTCAGTGGAAGAGTCAGACACAACACAGTAGACAGAGGTCAGAGTCAGCCGTGGATTAAATGGAGAGGACTGCAAAGGACAAATTTACTGTGGAGAGATATGTGGTGTGCATTAGTAAGCATGGCTGAGAGTTTCCAGAGGCAGAGGCTATCTCTTTAAGGACTAGAACTTCATAATGTCAGCTGTTGGTGGTGGTCATGCCCTACACTCTGTTAAATATTGTTAAGCTTTGGGAGGAAATGCTGGCCTCATCACATGTCACAATCAACCCAAGGAAGTCTCTGTTCATGCTGATGGTCCCAAGCTCATTATTAACAGCATGCCTTTCATTCTCAAAAGTCTACTTGTTTGGAAAGTACCTGGTATATTCACACTAGATAAGGAAAGCAGATGTTTCTACCTTGTTTTTAAGATCAGAGACACCTCAAGCTTTGAGGTGCTCCTCTCCCAGCTTTTTTTTTTTTTTTTTTTGAGATGGAGTCTCACTCTGTCACTCAGGCTGAGTGCAATGGTGCTATCTCAGCTCACTACAGCCTCTGCCTCCCAGATTCAGGTGATTCTCCTGCCTCGGCCTCCTGAGTAGCTGGGATTACAAGCGTACACCACCATATCTGGGTAATTTTTTGTATCTTTAGTAGAGGGGGGTTTCACCATGTTGACCAGGCTGGTCTTGAACTCCTGACCTCATGATCTGCCAGCCTTGGCCTCCCAAAGGGTTGGGATTACAGGCATGAGCCACCGCACCCAGCCTCTCCTCTCTCAACTTTAAGGCTGTTTTTAAATATCTTTTTATATCCTTAATATGCTCACATTTTTCTCCACCTTCTCGAACATATGGAATGTAGTTATAACTGTTTTGACGTCCTTGCCTACTAACTCCTTCATCTATGTCATTTCTGGATCAGTTTATGTTGATCAGTTTCCCTCCCCCTCATTATCCATTATGTTCCTGGGCTACTTTGCATGTCTGGTAATTTTTGATGGATGGCAAGACATAATTTTTATCTTGTTGGATGTCAG